TTGTAGCATGTAGGAGAATATGGAATGGTATTGTAGTAATGTGTAGTATGTAGGAGAATATGGAATGTTATTGTAGTATGTTGGAGAATATGGAATGATATTGTAGTAGCGTGCAGTATGTTGGAGAATATGGAATGGTATTGTAGTATGTTGGAGAATATGGAATGATATTGTAGTAGGGTGCAGTTTTTTGGAGAATATGGAATCGTATTGTAGTAGAGTGCAGTTTGTTGGAGAATAAGGAATGGTATTGTAGTATGTAGGAGAATATGCGATGGCATTGTAGTATGTAGGAGAATATGGAATGGTATTGTAGTATGTTGGAGAATATGGAATGGTATTGTAGTATGTAGGAGAATATGGAATGGTATTGTAGTAGCGTGCAGTATGTTGGAAAATATGGAATGGTTTTGTAGTATGTAGGAGAATATGGAATGGTGAGTGAGTGAGTGAGTATGGTTTTACGCCGCTTTTAGCAATATTCCAGCAATATCACGGCAGGGGACACCAGAAATGGGCTTCACACATTGTGCCCATGTCGGGAATCGAACCCGGGTCTTCGGCGTGACGAGCGAACGCTTTAACCACTAGGCTACCCGACCGCCCCGAATATGGAATGGTATTGTAGTAGTGTGCAGTATGTTGGAGAATATGGAATGGTATTGTAGTATGCAGGAGAAAATGGAATGATATTGTAGTAGCTTGCAGTATGTAGGAGAATATGGAATGATATTGTGTATGTAGGAGAATATGGGATGGTATTGTAGTATGTAGGAGAATATGGAATGGTATTGTAGTATGTAGGAGAATATGGAATGATATTGTAGTAGCGTGCAGTATGTTGGAGAATATGAAATGGTATTGTAGTATGTAGGAGAATATGGAATGATATTGTAGTAGTGTGCAGTATGTTGGAGAATATGGAATGGTATTGTGTATGTAGGAGAATATGGAATGGTATTGTAGTATGTTGGAGAAACTGGAATGATATTGTAGTAGCGTGTAGTATGTTGGAAAATATGGAATGGTATTGTAGTAGTATGCAGTATGTTGGAGAATATTGAATGGTATTGCAGTATGTAGGAGAATATTGAATGGTATTTAAGCATGTAGGAGAATATGGAATGGTATTGTAGTAATGTGCAGTATGTTGGAGAATATGGAATGGTATTGTGTATGTAGGAGAATATGGGATGGTATTGTAGTATGTTGGAGAAACTGGAATGATATTGTAGTAGTGTGTAGTATGTTGGAAAATATGGAATGGTATTGTAGTAGTATGCAGTATGTTGGAGAATATTGAATGGTATTGCAGTATGTAGGAGAATATTGAATGGTATTTTAGCATGTAGGAGAATATGGAATGGTATTGTAGTAATGTGTAGTATGTAGGAGAATATGGAATTGTATTGTAGTATGTTGGAGAATATGGAATGATATTGTAGTAGCGTGTAGTATGTTGGAGAATATGAAATGATATTGTAGTAGCATGCAGTATGTTGAAGAATATGGAATGGTATTGTAGTATGTAGGAGAATATGGGATGGTATTGTAGTAGCGTGTAGTATGTAGGAGAATATGGAATGGTATTGTAGTATTTATGAGAATATGGAATGGTATTATAGTATGTAGGAGAATATGGAATGGTATTGTAGTAGCGTGTAGTATGTAGGAGAATATGGAATGGTATTGTAGTATGTAGGAGAATATGGAATGGTATTGTAGTAGCGTGTAGTATGTTGGAGAATATGGAATGGTACTGTAGTATGTAGGAGAATATGGAATGGTATTGTAGTATGTAGGAGAATATGGAATGGTATTGTAGTATGTTGGAGAATATGGAATGGTATTGTAGTATGTAGGAGAATATGGAATGGTATTGTAGTAGCGTGTAGTATGTAGGAGAATATGGAATGGTATTGTAGTATGTAGGAGAATATGGAATGGTATTGTAGTAGCGTGTAGTATGTTGGAGAATATGGAATGGTATTGTAGTATGTAGGAGAATATGGAATGGTATTGTAGTATGTAGGAGAATATGGAATGGTATTGTAGTATGTTGGAGAATATGGAATGGTATTGTAGTATGTAGGAGAATATGGAATGGTATTGTAGTAGCGTGTAGTATGTTGGAGAATATGGAATGGTATTGCAGTATGTAAGAAGAATATAGAATGGTATTGTGGTATGTAGGAGAATATGGAAAGGTATTGTAGTAGTGTGCAGTATGTTGGAGAATATGGAATGGTATTGTAATATGTAGGAGAATATGGAATGATATTGTAGTAGTGTGCAGTATGTAGGAGAATATGGTATTGTAGTATGTAGGAGAATATGGAATGATATTGTAGTAGCGTGCAGTATGTTGGAGAATATGGAATGGTATTGTAGTATGTAGGAGAATATGGAATGGTATTGTAGTAGCGTGTAGTATGTAGGAGAATATGGAATGGTATTGTTGTATGTAGGAGAATATGGAATGATATTGTAGTAGCATGCAGTATGTTGGAGAATATGGAATGGTGTTGCAGTATGTAGGAGAATATGGAATGGTATTGTAGTATGTAGGAGAATATGGAATGATATTGTAGTAGCATGCAGTATGTTGGAGAATATGGAATGGTATTGCAGTATGTAGGAGAATATGGAATGGTATTGTAGTATGTAGGAGAATATGGAATGGTATTGTAGTAGCATGTAGTATGTAGGAGAATATGGAATGATATTGTAGTATGTAGGAGAATATGGAATGGTATTGTAGTATGTAGGAGAATATGGAATGGTATTGTAGTATGTTTGAGAATATGGAATGGTATTGTAGTATGTAGGAGAATATGGAATGGTATTGCAGTATGTAGGAGAATATGGAATGGTATTGTGGTATGTAGGAGAATATGGAATGGTATTGTAGTAGCGTGTAGTATGTAGGAGAATATGGAATGGTATTGTAGTATGTAGGAGAATATGGAATGGTATTGTAGTAGCGTGTAGAATGTAGGAGAATATGGAATGGTATTGTAGTATGTAGGAGAATATGGAATGATATTGTAGTAGCATGCAGTATGTTGGAGAATATGGAAAGGTATTGCAGTATGTAGAAGAATATAGAATGGTATTGTGGTATGTAGGAGAATATGGAATGGTATTGTAGTAGCGTGCAGTATGTAGGAGAATATGGAATGATATTGTAGTAGCGTGCAGTATGTTGGAGAAAATGGAATGGTATTGTAGATTGTAGGAGAATATGGGATGGTATTGTAGTATGTTGGAGAATATGGAATGATATTGTGGTAGCATGTTGTATACTCACACGCAAAAGAAACGCAAGTCGAGTATGCAGTATACTTGTTATTTATTTTTAACAGTAAAGACAAGAAATACTAATAGGGCAAGATTGACAAAAATTTGGCTGAAGACAATTTAATGGATTAGAAGGCAGATGACAATTGTTTTTTTCAAATGTTAAGGGCTTACACAGTTTCGGGTCAATACCCAAAGTGTCAGTCAATACCTGGTGTGACCACCATTAGCATTGTTCACTGCCACACATCTCCTGTACATTGAGTGGATCAGACGATTTGTGAAGGCCCTAGGGATCCTCCTGCACTCATCCAGAGCAGCTGTGCGTAGTTCATCGGCAGTTGTAGGGACTGGGCGCACATTATGCAGACACCTTTGAACCTCATCCCACAAGTGTTCGATGGGGTTCAGATCAGGGCTGAGGGCTGGCCACGGTAGAACACGGATGTTGTGTTGTTGCAGAAAGGCCATGGTAGCTCTGGCAACTTTGGGACGAGCGTTGTCCTGCTGGAAAATGTGTTGTTGATGTTGTGCAAAAAATGGATCAACGTGAGGTCTGATCGCTTGGTCAATATACCGCTGAGCAGTGACGCTGTGTCCCCGACCTTGACCAACATTCAGAAAGCACATGGGTCCAAGTCTCGCATTAAGTCCAATCCCTGCCCATATCATGACGCTAGGTCCACCCAATGGATCCCTTTCCACAACGTTTCTGTCAGCGAAACGATCACCTCGACGCCGCCAAATTCTGACTCTTCCGTCTGCATGGGAGACACAAAAGTGACTTTCATCAGAGAAGATGACACGCCTCCACTCACGGTGACGCCAATTGCGATGACCCTGTGTCCAGTGAAGTCGTGCTTGTGGATGCCGTGGTTGGATAACAGGACGACGTGCTGGTCGGCAACATCTGAGGTTGTTGGACAGCGTTATTTACAGCATGTATTGAAATCTAAATTTTGGATATTTACTCCGAGAAATGAATTTCAAAAATAGCATATTAGTGATCACGGGTATCTGTCCTTTATGAAATCACCAATGATCATTCCAAAACGGCTCCGATAACCCTAGAATCGTTTAGAATGTTTTGGAAAATACACAAAAACGAACGCCGAAGTGAACTTTCCGCCATAATGGATAGTGTTTACAAAATCATGTTTCAGGTACACCGGTTATGAGGCGCCTGTAACATCACGTATATTTCAAACTTAGCTGCGATACACACATCCTTGAATTCCTCACACATTTTAGAATCGAATGAACAATGGTCTTTGTCACCAATATGAAGTGGCTGGATGAAATCAAGCAAAATAAGTAAGGTGTGAAAACGAACGCTGTGCTCGAAAAACTGCACTTGTTTGAAATGTAAACAAAGCAAAATACAGATTTTACACAGTGTAGCATTTTCTCCTATTTTGAGCTATCCATTCGTCTATTCGTTCAATATATTGGCTCAACATTTTTAGAACATGCATGGGAAGAGAATCATAGGATGAATTAGGGAATTTAAAATAGATACATTGACAATTTCTGTTGAAAATTCAAATCATTGCAAAGTTACCGTCCTGTGTGACGCCATGACTGACGCAAAATCACGCACAACGACAACGGTTTTTATCGGACTATTTCGGTTTGTTTCATGGAAAATTATAACAACAAATAACAGTACATAGATTGTCAGAATGTGTCTGATTACTTACATGTCACATTTATGTATATACGATCCCTGAATCAACAAAAGTCCACTCGTAAAATCCCGCGTACTGTTGACAGTGAACACACCATTTTGTAAAAGTCGGTCACAGGTAGTGATGTCATACGTCAACACTGTTGTACATATTTGGTAATTTCTTTGAGGTGAAGGTCCTTGAATGAGAGTGCACACGATTGTACCATGTCGTTTACAGTTTCAGTTATGATGTAGATTTTGCATATCTTTTATACATTTTTTCACACAATTAATTTCACTTTGGACATTTGTCAATGTTCAAAATGATATCATACGTAAATATAGGCCACAACATGTATGAACGAACCTTTGATAATCTCCTGTTTGTTTGAACATTGTTTACATAACAATTGATTAGTGTCGAATACGATATTTCTTTCCTTTGGACGAGTGTTACAAGATGAAGTGTAAATGTTACTGCAGCATGTACGTATTTCTTGGGATGTGCAATTGTCAATATTATAAGTTCATATTGGGAATGGACATGAATAGCCGTTTCATTTTATTTTACAACTAAAATTGAATATATTACTTTCACAAAATGGATAATATTCTTTCGGTAAAATATATGCACACATTTCTGAAAGAATTGTCTTGGAATTGTTTTTTATGTCGTTTGATACACAGAACAGTGATATCTAACGATTCGCCAGGTGCGCGTTAGTCACAAACTATTTACGAATTATTCCTCTCATTTTGCATGATATAATCAATGGGTTCTTTCTTTTTTCAATATTGTGATCACAGGATATTAAACTGTTTACTTAATTCTCCAGGAATTGTAAAATGTATAAAATACAATCCATGCCAGGTACCCCGTTGGTTCAACCGTATACGATTATCCTGATAATTTTATACCAAAAGAGCTTTCTTCGCATCTTTTTATTGTGTAATTCTGAGACGAGATGTAGAGAAATAATAACACAATAATGAACAAATATATGTCCAATATTGAATATAATTTTGGTTGTTTTGAAATATTCTTTGGGGTATTTCATTACGTAAATTGATGCCAAACAGGTGCTTGTCTTGTCCAATTAAGATACACGGTAGACTATCTAATTGTTTACATATTCAAAACATTAATTACTTGGTGAAAGCAGTAATTTTATGTTGTGTCGACAAAGCGTCAAATTCCGTTTTCCACATCGAGATTTTGAATACCATGAACGAAAATTAATAAGGGAGATATATATTAATCAAAATACCAGTGTCGTCTTTCTCAGACGTTATCAAAGACATAAAACCAGCCATGACGTCAAAAGGAATGGTGTTATTTTTGGGGTATTTCATTACATTTGATGATAAGGCTAGTGCTCCATTAATAATGGTGCAAAATTAGTCAAATTACACTTACACAATCAGAATGTTGGAATCTAAGGACTATGTTATAGGTTAGATAGGGCCATCCATTTCTCTAATACCTCTTTTTTTATGAAGTACGATTTCATTATTTCTTATGGGTTTTTTTAATAACTAAACCTATACAGTTTCAATATGGATATTTGTGTTGGAATAGTTTGGTTCCTTGTGAACGAAACACCACGAAAATATATTGTCCTTACCCACAGCTAATTCTCACCAATTGACCTGAGTTACAAAAATATAGTGTTTAGCATAGCGGAGTTATGCCCCCTTTTTCTTGTACGTGTGTAACCTCTCTGTCGCCTTTTGACGTCATAGAGAAAAATCATTTTTCGTCATTTACGGCATGCTATTTTTGGCATTGAATGTATGTACGCCTATAACTCTATTTGATATATAGTTATGTCGTTCGGATATTAGGCAGTATTTTGTTCGCTTACAATTTCCGTAAAGCTTCGAAATAAAAAAAATCGTCGCACAGTAGTTTTATCGGTGTACGATAAAAAGTGGAGAAATTTACTGTTTTTCAACGCAGAATAAATTCACGGACAACACTTAGAGGTGTATTTTTTTAAAACCAGTTTAATAGTTGCAGTTTACTTTACACAATCAAATGGGAAATTTAATATTCTCCACCTCTGCGTAATTTTGTAGCCAGGGGAATATCCAGTGCCGCGTGAGCGCTATTCTCGCACATCCTTCATTTTCCGATCTTAGGAAAATGTGCGTCAGAAAAAAAACTCCGCATCCAGAGGGATATGACAAAATCAATAGTTTTATGTATATATTATAACAACTGTAATAATGAACAATGTTTTTATTAAATAAACCCTCACCAACAACCTATTTATAATATGGCTGTAGTGGAGTGTATGTCAGGACTATTGTTTTGTTTTGTGTTCTTTGTTTGCAGTAGATCAGCAAAGAATAGGAAGTAAACACCCCTGGGATTGTGTTGATACCATACGAGATGGAACCTGAATTATATGAATGGGCAGCTGATAGATACTAGCTAGACAAAAAATGTAACATGATAACAAGTATAATATATTTGAATAAGTCCATTAATAACTAAAAAAATGTTGTCAATGCTTAGCCTTTTCAACTGCCCTCCTTTGTCGGGCAGTTAATGGAAGACCTCGGGCTTCTGCAAATGATAATGCCCTGAAAAATAGCGTTACCGTTATTATAGCTAAAATGTATGGAATTTTTTATCAAATAAAAAGAAACAACAATATCGGGTTTGAAACATTTTCTGCAATCAACATGAATGTCACTGACCCACTTTTACAAATATGGAAACGTCATAGAACCAGATGACGTCACTATTGAACGTGACGTCATCGATCCTATCCCATGACGTCACCTAACAACGGGCGTGATAATGGCCCGTTGTCAAGCAATATGAGGGCATTATCAAGTTACAGTGGCTGCTCATTTCTGATAACATGCGGGCAGTTTAATGATAATTCTATCCATTTTAGCTATAAGGCTAAATAACACTGGATGGCCTGCTAGCGTGCAAGCCGAGTTGTCACAGTGATTCCTACGTTGTCAGGGCGCTGAGGTCCCAGTGAATTCGTCCGGATTAGCAAATCATTGTATAAGTTATACCCCCGTGTATACATGTTGACTCTCTTACCCGGATCGCAAGGAAATCCGTGATTCCGCTAAATACATGTAGAGTCCGCGGACTAACGAGTTTTCTCGACCGCCACACTTTGAGCCTGTGTTTGTCAGCTAACAATTTCACGTTGTGACAACGTTGTGATAACATTGTGTTTACGTTGTGGTAACGTTGGGGATGTTACGTCCATATAACGTTATTCTGTGGACTCCCATTTACGTTGTCACAACGTCATGGCCTAACGTTGTGTTACGTCATATTCATGTCGTACCAACGTTGTGATGACGTATTTTACGTTGTGGGAACGTTGTATTTTACGTTGTGGCAATGTTATAATAATGCGTCCCTACAACGTTATTCTGTGTACTACAATGGACGTTGTCACAACGACGTGAAATAACTTTGTGTTATAAGGATGAAATACGTTGTGACCATTCCCCACTAAAATGTTGTAAAAACAACCCAAAAACATGTCCCGGAAATGTTTTAGAATATACTTTAGTCACATGAATGTGTATGATTCGAGATACCTTTTATCAATGTTTTAAAACCAGGGAGTCGAATAGCCCAGTTAACAGTTAGATCGTGTTTTGCTGACAATGTTCAAAATGTAAAACTGTTAACTAGATACATATGACTATAACAAAGTCAGACACCATTACCCTTTAGGCTTGTACTGCAGGAAACAAAATAAGAAAGGCAGACATTGTAAGGGGTTCACAATATGATATTTTCTGGGGAGGGTCGGGTCCTGGAATTTTATCGAAAAAATATAGTCACCGAAAATTCTTGACAAAAATAATTACGGTACAGACATAGTATTCTTTTTGGTGATCCAAATTTAGATGTTTTCCTGAATACAAAAATATTCTTGTCTGTACACAAATTTATAGAAACGACTAACAGATTCAGTAGCTAGCATATTATTGTTTCCAAACTGTTAATCATTAGTATTGTTAAATCTATATTCAACACTAAAATGTATAATTTTAGGATATGTATGAGATGCACACTGTCTTCACTTTCCAGCACATTGTACATATCCTTCATATGAGCACTGTATATAAGTTGCGCACTATGTTTCCACAATGTGAAGCTTCAACTGTAAATTGTTCATTTTCATTATGCAATATTATGTATAACTGTATATAGGGAGAAGGCGGTAATAAGTGCTGCCCTTTGTCTTTTTGGACAATAAAATATGTTTGATAATATTTCATCTTGTGATCTGACAAAGTTAATATTTTCAAGTCAAGATATCAACTTTAGTAAACCACATGAAGAGATAAACATTGCATTTGACAAAATAAATTCAAGTCTTATATTTTCTTTGTGATCTTCATGACCTTACTCAGAAAACCATAGTGTCAATGAGGCAGACTGACTGTAGGTGTGACAAAAAGTGATATTTCACCTGATCTTATTTATTTCACTCTAGCGAAAGTATGTTTTCAGCATGGCCAGACTAAACAAAGTATTTCATGATTAAATACATACCGGTAATACAAATATCAAAACGTGTTTCATTAAAACAAGAGTGAATTTCTGTGTGACATTGATATAAAGAGCTGTAGTACACTGTCATTAAATTGATGCATCTGTTGAGTTTACTGTTTACACAGAATATACTGTTTTCGACATATCAGATGAATAGATGCCTTCAAGATTGTTCTAAAGTAGCATGTAATGTTACACACTGTGATTAATTTTCCTTAAACTTCTCTATTTGAGAAGAATGTTGTTTTCTAAATAAGCAATATTTTGAGAGAAGGTGAATATGCATGGCTTATAAAAAATGTTATTGTAGTAGGAATATTATTACAATATTATTGAATTATTCATTTCAGGCCAGCGAGTCAACACAATGAAGTACTAGTATCCGGGTGACGGATGTCTGTAGGAGATTTCTGCTGACAGTAACAGACTGGTTACAATGTGCGTCCTGTCAAAGGACGAGGATGTGAAAAGCCATATTCATTCAATCAACAAATGTGCTTCCTGTCACATTTCACTTAAATAGGACGAGGAAGTGAAAAGCCTTATTCACTCACAAATCAACATGGCCAATATTTATCGGACACTGAAAAAGCACATTGTACCATTTGTTTACAAGCAAGAAAGTTATTTTCTCCTGGAATTTAACTAGGTGCTTTTGACTGACAAAGACACCCAGTCCATGTTAAGTTTTGAAAACTTATATTGTGAGAAATAAAGATATGAAAATTTTGGTTTGTTTTCCTTTGTTAAATATGAAATATAAATCCAGATTGTTCCATCAACATCATTTGTACCGATACATATATTTTATCTTGGCTTGATTACCAATTGAAGTTGATTCCTTTTTATCTTTTGTTATTTTATCTGTACTCATATCTGATCAAGACATTTTCAAACTATTCAGGATAAATGTATTAGTAGCTTCCTTTTGATATACAATTACCTATCATCATACAGGATTAGGTGAGGGTGTTCAAGAAGTTGGTAGTTGTATCAATTCTTATATTTTTTCAATTTCATGCATTATTTATATTTATCAATTTTTAGTTTCCTTTTAACTTATTTTAAACAGTTCACACATTATTACTTTTGTCGTGCACGGTGCAATCTCAATCGACAATAATCAGTTAAGTAAGTGATGTTTGAAGAACAAGTAAAGTATCATCTGTCATTGTACACACTGAATAGAGTTATAGCCCCTTCTGAACATGTATTTTGACACACAAATTATTTTCATAATTAACATTGTAATATGTTAAAATGAAAATCATAGCAAAAAAAGTGTCTTTTGTCAACTGGACTCATGGCAAAACGATAGTGCGTTGTGCAGCAAACACCATTATGAAACGTGAAATAAACATGATCTCAATCTTGATCTAGAGTTCGCCAATTAAGCCACGCATTGACTGAGCAATTTTGCAAAAGTACACTGACGTGTTTCATGTTATGCGGTTTATTTACGATACAAAACTTCTGTCATTGAATGTACTGTCACATTGTACCTATATGCCGACTAGGTTATGATAAAACAATCTATTTCTGAAATACGTATCTCGAAATGCACCTTTCGATTCACTTCCGGGATCCTGACAGCAAAATGCTAATTCCAGTGTATTACAGGCATATTTTAGTTGGACCTCACGATTTAATGTGAAATATCTTCTGTATAAGATACAGAGGATACCATGTTTTGTTTGTTTGAAATGTCCATCAGTGAAATGCACAACATGCTGTCTGTTCCCTATGAGCTGATGCAACTCACACTGCATGGAGCTATGCTCTCCAAGCCTCGTTTTCGATCCAAGATGGCGAAAGTGTGAAAAAGGTCAATAGACAGCACCAACAACCAGATGACCCACATTTAGGCTACTTCAGTCAGTGCTTATTAGGCCTTTTCGGAAACAACAAATATGTTTCTGTCTCTTCCCGAAAATACAATTTTTCATAACATCATTGAGCGCTTTAGACTAGGGCTATACATTGTAACTAGCAGCCTACAGAGAGTGGATCTGAAAATACTTCCACTGTTTTGATTCCCTCTCTTCGCTGTATAAGAGAAGTCTAATCAACCTTTCCCATGGCCTGAATGAGCCACATTGTTTCACAAAAATCATAGTCAGAAGATTAGTACATTTTAACTTTAAAAAGAAATGATTTCAGAAATAACAAGGAAGAAATGGCGATAACTGTCAGTTGTCAGTAGGCGATGCATAAGTTAGGCCTATTTACAGACCTATACGCTTACCATCAAAACCCGAACAAATATGACGGCTACAAAACGCCGCCAGACTGAATTCTGGTCAAACATATACTGCTTGCCCTTGGTAATTACCCTTGGTATCCATAAAATAATAATATGGAAAAAAGTCTTTGGCCTTCTTCATATCTATATACATCATGTTCTGTGTATCAAATATTAATATCAACACTGACGCTCAGTGAAAGTGACCGGCAAACTGCATTCAAAACCCCGCCACTTCTGAATAATAAATCATTTGACTATCTGCATGTACAGAAACACATCAACAAGCGGAGACTGCTTTTGAAAAATTAACTTCCCTCATCCGAATTCACAGATCATCTGTCCAGTTCCAAATGCTGCACAATCACTTGGTTGTAATATGTCCAGAGTGAACTAAGATGGCTGGTGACAACACATCTTCCGTGAAAATGTGACGTAATTCTGACGTCACTTCACGAGGCAACAGGTTAAACTTTTCAGCAGTCGCTCTCACGTCGCAAAAAATGCGCGCCAATTGTTTTTAACTGTAATATTGCTTGTGACAACATTTAGTAGAGATGGTAGATCTACAAGTGGTTTCCTAAACATCATTTACAAAAAGTGTTGTAATGTCCAAAGCACAACGTTATCACAACGTTAATTTGCAACGTTGTTGTTACGTTGTGGAATAACGTTACAATGTAACGTAATACTAACGTTGTCATAGAGATACGCAATTACGTTCTGAAAATTCAAATGCCGAATATAAAGACAGGTAATGCATTACTGCCTTGGTATTCTGACAAGTTCATGTTGATTTTGATAAAGCAGTTCTATTCCTTTATGACTATCGAGAAGCAAACTCTATAACGTTTCACCGACGTTTCAGAAACGTAGTTACAAAACGTTATAATAATGTTGTGACAACGTTATATCACGACGTTACCAATCCACAACCTTTCCACAACGTTGTGACAACGTCGTGTGTTAGCTGGGAGGGCGTTCCACTTTAACCCAATTTCATGTACTAAAACAATGTCAAGCACTGAAACAATATCAGCTAGCCTACCATTCTCCTCGTTGTCAGACAACAGTGAACAACCTTCCAGACCCACTGCCGAGATCGGGTATTCTTACATCAGCATCGTCAATGGTAATGTTTTCAGTGGTGAACTGTTTTCGTTTTGGTCGCTGGGCTTGATTCCCAGGGAATGCACGCGATAACGAAAGTAGGAACGTCCTTCGTCTTATAAATAGTACGTCGTCGTCCTGCAATCAGTTTAATAGGCCGCCGTGATACAGCTGAAATGTTGATATGACTGTGATGCACACTTGTACTTACTTACTTACTTTGGAGATTTAACATGCGCTTTCCGACTGATGCGTATTTCGCACACGGGGGACACTTGTATGTAGCTTCCCCTAAAATACCATGTGACCCGTGAAGATCCGTACCTCTCTTAATATTTATGCATGACCCCAAGGTCAAACTACAAAACGAGGTTTTCCCCGCATGGCGGCAGAGCAAACACCAGAAGTGATTTATCGCTCGTCACGCATGTCTCGTTCAGTGTCGTCAAGAACTTGGTTCAAAGTCAATCTAAGAGCGCGAGGAGTTCCCCGTTGAACGGGTGCAGGCTAAAACGGCACCCCAGCAAAACGTCACCGATTTCTCTGGCGAAAACGGCACCGCATTTGGCGAAAACGGCTATGTGTCGGGCGAAAACGGCACCTCTATTTTTAATAAGGATAAGAACGATTTTTGTAGTAATATATATGGTTTATTTACATGGTCACAGTTATCACAGCATGTTGTTGTTTTCTGACATTCTTCTCTCATGCAACACATCGAAAGGCCATTGTGAATAATTGTGGTCTGACAGCTCCATGTTAGGCCTCTTAAATACAGTTTCAGTTTAAATTGAGTAAAGGTACTTAAAACTTCAAAGTTTATAGTGTTTTCACATTAAGTTAACTGCGCCTCCCAATCAGTGGGCGAGTAAATTGGAGTAGGGGTTTAATTTCTTACTTGTTTTATTTCACAATTTCACAATTATTTGTGTTTGTAAGAGACGACTTGAGTTTAATTTCTATTATTTTTCTTCAAAGCATGTCATGTTTTCACAATAAGTTGTGTTGCGTATAAGCTAAGTTGGATTATAGTTGGAGTAGAGGCTAATTTCTAATGTACACTGTTTTTAGCATCTCACAATTATTGGTGTTTGCAAGTTACCATGTAAGTTTAATAGCACTTATTTGACCAAGGTAAAAGAAAAAATAAGGTGCCGTTTTCGCTAGGCCACAGTAGCCGTTTTCGCTCGAGTCGAGGTGCCGTTTTCGCCCGGTGACGTTTTGCCGAGGTGCCGTTTTCGCTATAACCCCGTTGAACAAGGGATTCCATTACAACAGCGATGGGTTCATCAACAGTATTAAAAGAACGTATAGTGTGCTTTAACACTAAATAACAATGACCACTTTGACAGGTCACGTTACCTTTCATGGCATATGCTGTTGTTTTGAACTAATATTGATGAGCGTAACATGAATGGGCTAAGACAGCCATAATGACTGATAACCAGCCTTTTAAATGTGTGTAAGCGCTATATTTTATTTATTTTCATTCTTGTGTTTTGGGGTATTACGGTAGTCTATAGATCTAATTAAATATGATTATTATTAAGGTTATAGTTTATACTGTGTCACGTACGTATATTGCGACCGTCATAAATGCAAATGTTTTTGGCTATAGATCTAAATAGTTTTTTTTTGTATAAACCCAAATCATCCACGATCATCCATTAAATTCAGTTCTGTTTCATAGTTGAATGTGTGTATCTAGTAATCATTATGTTTCCATTGTCGTCCAAAGGATTCCTGTGGCCCGACTCCTGTGAAATCCCACATAACTTATATTAGAGGTAAGGACTATGAAATAAATATGTCGTATTCATGTTCAATTAATCAAATTAATTTGTATCAATGGGTATGGCAGTTACATTAAACTCCAACAATAATTCTGGGTAACAGACCATGCAGTTAATGCAAATTATAAATTTTTTATTTTTTTTAAAAGTCAAAGTGACTCGGCACAATGTTTGAAGTGTAGAACACTTATTAAATTGCATTCATACAATTGACATCTGCATGTTTTTCTTCACAACTTTAATGTATTTTTTCAGAAGTGAGGGTTTCTACAGCAAACTGTTTCTGTGCCATCAGACAGATCGAGCCAGTGCTATGGACATCAATTTAAATACAATGTATGTACATCGTGTAATAAAATATTTGCGTTTCAAATGATTTGACACTTTTATCTCTCACAGGCAATTTTAGCACAATTCTATAAGAGTGTGCAAGGGAAACCATAATCAGGCAACTGTCCACAGCTGATTGATAGTTTTGAAAATTCTGCAACATGGACTCTCAAGGATGTTAAGGTTTGTATTTCTCCTATTTTTTCGGCTGAAAGCTGACTACAGTTAAATAGGAAAGGGGTGCAAAGTAGTGGCAATAGTAAAGCCTTGGTCTGCCCCCACACTAACACCAGGCTGTACAAGATCAAGAAAAATACCAGCTGTAGACAAACATGATACAAAGTTCACAGCATCGTGAGGGGCTATACCAATCAGGCTTTAGAGTGGGCGGCTAGTTTTGTAAAGTGTATAAAACTTTTGAGTTGAGGAAAAAGGCCAATGGGATTTGAATTTTTATTTCAGTGCAGTCAACAGCATAGTCCTGGGTCTTCCAGCCAAGGAAACAGTGTCAGAACAAACATAATACATGCTACACATTTTGGTGGCACTGGGTTGATCAAAATATAAACATCACTTGAAAGTATCACAGTCAGTAATGAAATATAATATTGCATGAAACGGGTCAGTTCTAGTTCTTGATACTCCAAAATTCTCAAGAGCCAGATGGTTATTGAGTAGATGGTTCTCCCATTGTTCAGCATGGACCTGCATCTCCTTTATTTCAAATTGTGCCTCACACCCCACATTCTGTGTGGAATGATCATTCCCTTCAACATCATGTCCATCACACCTCCTCCTGGAACCAGGTTCTCCTCACACTACAAACAAAATAATACTGATTTAATATAAATGTTTCATAAATAAAGTAAAAAGAATTAATTATAATGCAATCTTGATTTATGACATTTATTGATACACATATTATTATAGTGGATAGTTGTAAATTCTTACACTATGACGTTCTGGCCTATAGGATCAAGGGGGGCTTCCTTGGTGTTGTGGCCACAGTCCATGCAAATATGGATGGGATTGTCCCTGATTTCAGTATTCTTTGCACAGGGGCATACTCGTTTACAACACACAAATCAAGGACTGAAATTTAAAACCTTCAATTCAATTAAGTCCCCAAATTGATTTTTAATTTGTGTATGAATATAAATCGTAAAAAGAATCGGCCTACCTTTAGAATACAGTACCACAAACCTTTCAAACACGTGATCATACCCTATGACGTAATTTGTAGTATTTTGTTGCTAATCACACCGGCGAGACAATGCCCAGTGACGTCAGGGGTCATCGTGTGTGCATAAGCTCCTCCCAGTGATCTATCATCTCTACACGCAATGTCATTGAATACGCCCTGCGGTGTTGAGAGTTTTGAGTATTTGTTTACTAATTATTAAGCTGGTTCCCGGCTCCCTATGCGCGTCGTCAACTTGCGCCAAGCTAGGAGCCGGTACAGGCCAAAATAAAAAACACTCAGCGTGTTTATTTGACGTCACATCCGGTGATTTTCAAAAATGGCTACGCTAATGCCGGTACAGAGGAGGGAGGGACACACCTGTGAAAAGCGTGTCATCTTGCGTTTGCTGTGGTTAAACCAAAATCTGATGGCGGGCAATTTTATAGAGTGGAAAATTGACAAACAAAATCAACTGACAACAGTCTCGCTAATCTTTTGGAGCGCTAAGGCAGATTAAAAGTGGTTCATGGGTTGAATTCTAAGTCAAGACAGTAAATATTTAAAAAAATTGTATTTCTGAAATTCGATGATTTTGTTTGCGTTTGTATATTCACATAAACCTAAAACAATTAGATCCTGCCCTCTAAATGGTTAAAAGAGCTGCATTGTTGACATATTTATTTACAAGAATTCACTTCTATATTTTGGAGCACCTTTAGAATACGGTACTGAATTCTAAAGGTAGGCCGAAGATTTTATAGATTTTCGGGCAACGAGGTCCATTTACACCTGGTCCAGAATGAAGGCTTACAAAATTCCTCAAAATGTTATGAAGTAGAGAAACTGACACAGGCTTTCCCCTTGGATGATAGAGGGACATATTTGTCCCTCCTCTTCAACCCTCACTGTGAAGTCGAATAAAATTCAAACTGCAGCAGTCACAAAGACACTTCACAGTTTTGAATACGGTGGGAAATTCCCTGTTTGGTCATGTCATCCACTGGCATTTTTGGCCAAGCAAAATTACTGAAAATGAGGGGCATAGTAAAAAAATGTCGACATTTTTTTTACACATTTCTAAATTACCACTCACGGCGTTATTTACAGCATGTTTTGAAATAATAAGTTCGGCTATTCACTCGGCGAAATGAATTTCAAAAATAGCATAGCATCACCGGTATCTGTCGTTGATCAAATCCTCAATGATCATTCCAAAACGTCGCCGATAGCCTTAGAATAGTTTAGAATGTCTTGGAAAATACGCAAACACGAACGCCGAAGTGAACTTTCCGTCATATATATTGGACAGTGTTTACAAAATCACGTTTCACGTATACCGGTTATGAGATGCCTGTAACATCATGTTAATTTTATACTCAGCTGCGATACATACATCCTTGAATTCCTCATACAGAGTCGAATCAAATGACGCATGGTCCTTGTCACCAATACAAAGTGTGTAGATGAAATCAATCAAAATAAATTAGGTGTGAAAACGAACGCTGTGCTCGAAAAACTACACTTGTTAGAAATGTAAACAGAGCAAAAAAGATTTTACACAGTGTAGCATTTTCTCCTATTTTGAACTATCCATTCGTCTATTCATTGAATACATTGGCACAACAATTTCAGAATATGCATGGGAAGAGAATCGTATGAAGAATTAGGGAACTAAAAAAAGATACATTGCAATGGTTGATATTTTCAACAGAAATTGTCAAAATTTCCGTCCTGTGTGACGCCATGACTGACGCAAAATCACGCACAACGACAACGGTATTTATCGGAATTTCTGACTATTTCCGTTGGTTTCAATGAAAAATATCACAACAAATAACAGTACACTAATTGTCGGAATGCTTCTGATTACTTACATGTCATATTTATGCATGCACGATTCCTGAATCAACGAAAGTCCCATCTTAAAATCCCGCGTATTGTTGACAGTGAACACGCCATTTTATAATGGTAGTGATGTCATACGCCAACGTTGTTGAACATATTAGGTAATTTCTTGGAGGTGAAGGTCTTTGAACAATGTTGAATGAAAGCACACACGATCATTGTATCCTGCTGTTTACAGTTATAATTATTTTGTAGATTTTGCATATCTTTAATACATTTTCTCGCCTACTTTGGATATTTGTCAATGTTCGATATGATATTATACGTAGATCTAGGCCACAACGTGTATCTACCTTTGATAATCTCCTGTTTGTTTGGACAGGAAATTGATAAGTTTATATATATAGTGTCGTATACGATATTTCTTTAATCTGGACAGTGTTACATCATTACCTTACGTTGAGTCACATATTTTTGACAATGCAGTTAATAATGAACTGTACAATGTGCAGAAATGTTTTTATTATGCTAAATATTGAGATATGCAAGACAGCAATGCCCGAGACGAGGTAAGAGAACCTCTTCTCTCTGATTGTTTGGGGATAGTTGTAATGCATTAATAAAAGGTTCCATGTCACAGAGATAACTCCTTTTGAGGAGGATGCCCATGTCTGTCATGTTCAGTATGATGGAAAGCAGTTTTCTAAGAACGCATACCATAAGACCCCATACCATCTTTACAACGATCTTGAAAATTATCAACATAATCACTTGACACAGGTTTGATTTATGTAAATAGTTACTAAATACCATCCATGTTAAAAGAAAATCGACACCTGGACGCACTTAGGTGCAATCTTAGACTACATTACTACTATAGTAATATTTGTAACACTTTGAAACGGAATGTCACCTTCATACTGCTGTCACTCAGCTACAACGTTGTACAAAGTTAGAAGTGATGACTGGGTGAATGAATAGAAACCATCCACTATTATGATTATGCCCATTTGTTGAGTAATGGACATTGACTAATTTCGTTGGTATTATTAATTGTATTGCATTTGAATGTTGTTTAAAAATATATAGCTAGAAAATATCAACATCGGCCATCGTTAATTGCTATTCTATTCCAATTTCAATATTTTCAACAGAGGTTTTATCATTTTAAACGTTATCATCCAATAAATATATTGCAACCACATACAAGTCGTACAACACATTTCTATTTTGTCAGAATAGTCACATCATATTTATTACGAGTTATTCTTTATTCCTTAAATGGAACACCAACCCTCATAAAATAAACTTTTTCGACGTCATGGAATGGAAAGACAAAGTTAGGAATATTTTCAATGCGACATTTATACTTTATGGGTGGCTCTACATATGTCGACATATATAAACTTCCTACATGCGTATCTCTTTCAAATACCTGAGAATATTTTATTCGCTCAAAGTTTTCTGACAAGTGTATAATAAATATTTTTCTCGCATAGCACAATTTGGGGGTGTATTCGAAAACCTGCGAAATGTTCATGCAAAGAATACGCTAGACTATGTTTACTATCATTTCTCTTACATATCGATATCATGTACGTAAAATATATGAAGAAAATAATTTTGGAAATTTAATTTCCTACAATTAATTACAATTTAAAGTTTGAAGGTCTTTCCTGCACCCGACGGTGGCACATCTAACAAAATGACTTAAAGTAGTTTGTGATGTTTCTCAGTGGAGGCTTTTGTAGAAGGGTAGCGCTTCGTCTAAAAATAGCGACCAATGAAAAATTACATAACATAGTGTATGTTTAATATTTCGAAGGCGCTCACAGCCATCGTCTCATTGGCCTGTACCGGCTCCTATAGTGTGATATTGGAGACGGGGCCCAGCTTAACTAATTATAGCCTGCGGCGGCGCATTTTAGAGCAAGCGCTAGTTTACGAAAGCACTTTTATTTTTTATATATTTTTTATTTCGTTTTTCTCGTAATTGAAGTGGATAAAATGGTTATAAATGGGAACATATATACATATTTTATTTTTTCGGTTCATTAATTTTCATTATTATGCACAAGAATGCAGTTTATTAGGGATTATATTGGCGCTGAACACATCCAAATGTCGCCAGTTTTAGGGTAGGTTACCCCGAACTCTCTATCATTACCCCTTGGATCCCCTTTACGATCAATCAGCCCTTCACGATCATAAGGGTTAGGAACCCGTTTAGTTGCTATTAGATTACCCGAAGTCTATCCTTAACCCTTGGATCCCCTTTACGATCAATCACCCCTTTACGATCATTAGGGTTAGGTACTCGTTTAGTGGCTATTATAGATTATATAGCGGCTCCTAATATTCTTCACACAAAAACGTCGAGTAAAAAGGATGAAATGGTTTTGTGTCGAATATTTTGGCTACTGGAAACTGTCCTGGAACATTCACACAAGCCACTTTAACTGGCTACATTTTTTCAGTACTGATTCAAAAGCGAACTCACCGTTGGGTTGTCACTAGTCATGCTTATTCCTCCATTGTTCCTTACTATTATCCACATCATCCTTACAGTGTTCCCTACCACACTTTTCTGTCACAAAAATCACCCGACGAATTATTAAATACCATATCATTCATGCGCACTCGCGAGTTCGACGTCTGACGTCTGACGCCTGGAGCCGTTTTCATTTCGCGGCATATCGGCTCATTCCCCACCACTCGGTACTTGTAGATTACGGAATGGGACGAGTGTGCCAAATGGTATCGGGATCATTCGTAAGTGTCCGTAGACTAAAGTCGCGAGACACCATGCCTACCCGTAACCTTCGTAAGTGTCCGTCACCTATTCGACCGTTTTCGTTCAGTTCCGTAACGTCATAGGCATGACTAGGTAAATTTGCACTTAGTTGAACAGTGTGGACGTAGCTCAGTCGGTTAGCTGTCAGGCCAACAATCCGAAGGTCACGGGTTCGAGTCCGACTGATTCTGACAATAAACTTGTTGCTTGTCTTGAGACATGTGACCTACGGCAGAGATCGTCCTCGCGAGAAGTTGTGGTACTGTAATTTAAAGGTGCTCCAAAGAATCCAACAAGAAAACATTGATGCAGAGCATCAAAGTTCCCCCGCCACATGTGATGCCTCACAAACGCATAATTATGATGTTACTGAAAGGCATGATGGAGCATAATTATATTAACCACAAATAACACAACGCTGTTGTGGAAAAAAATATTATTTATTTTGAGTATTGGGCAATACAGTTGATACATTTGCCTAGGGTAGGTCTATTTAAAATTAGTTTCTTGTTTAACGCCGCACTCAGCAGTATTCCAGCCATATGACGGCGGTCTGTAAA